TCCGAATGCCAGCTGTAATATATACAAGGTACAAGAAATGCTTAATACATCATCTGGTCTGCTTCTGGATCATTTTAACCCAGTCACTGTGCTGGATGTTGCCAAGATCCTAGAATCTCTGAAGGCCACCACTTCTGCATTGGACCCTTTTCCATCTTGGCTGCTAAAATCATGTAAGGTCCCCATTATCGATCCCTTCAGGACAATCATAAATCAGTCACTGGGCACCTTCCCTCGGCTACTTGAAGAGGTAGTTTATCTGTCCATTACTTAAAAATTCATCCCTGGGCAAAAACGATGTGGCCAGTTATTGCATAGCCTCTAATTTGCCTTTCCTGGGTAAACTGATTGAGAAATCAGACCAACTTCAGGTCTTTTTGGATAACTCATATACTCTGGACCCTTTTCAGACTGGTTTCAGGCTCGACTATGGGACGGAGACAGCTCTGGTGGCTTTAGCTGATTATCTCCATCTACATGTAGACAAAGCTCATCTTCCTTGTTGCTCCTACTGGATCTACCTGCAGCCTTTGCTACAACAGATCATATCATTCTGTTGAGGCATCTGGAGACAGAAGTAGGTATTAGGGGGCATGCCTTGGACTGGTTCAAATAATTTATCTTGGATTGGCTTTAAAGGGCCTCCATTCAAGGTATTGACTAACACATATAAAACCCTTCATGGTCCCTCATAAAACTTGGTCCCTCATCAATGTTCCCTCTAAGCTGAGTTAGTGTGTGCTAGCTCACAGTTTTCTAGCCTTGGGCTCATACATTTTTGTCTTGGCTCAGGAAGGATGGATCCAGAGTAAACTAATTTGTGCAGGAGCCAAACCACTTGCTCACAACTTTAATGCCAGTAGCTCATAAAGTAGAATTTTTGCTCACAAGAGTCCACAGCTTATAGAGGGAGCATTGTCCCTCATATTTGCAGAATTGCCTTTCTTCCTATGCTTTGCTCATCTGAGCAGCATGTTCTGCAGGTGCCACCCAGCAGATGGGCAAAATCAACAACAGCCCGTACATGTGTTTTCTCAGTTGCGTCCCCCACCTTTTGGAATAGCCTCCCTGACAAGATTAGGAAGGCTCCCAATCTCCTGGAATTCTGCAAACTTTGCAAAATTGAATTATTTAGGAAGGCTTTTTTTTCACAGGCAATAGGACTGCACTGAAATAAAACTGTTCAGACAGATGCTTTGGCAAAGGGATAGGGGCTGTGGACGATACTACTAGGCAAAGGGAAGGCTATTATCAGGACACACCATTCCATGTCCACATATGCAAAAATGCTATCACCACAGCAAAAGACCCCTAGCACGCTTGCTAGGCCAAAAATCAGTTTTCCAGCAGCTTCAACGGACTGCTTGAATACTGCCGAATGGTGCTTCCTGCGCAAGTGCAAAAGCCTACCGTTCTGGCCCGGCCGGCGAGCATACTTTTCTCTAGTATTTTGCTCCCTGCCCCCAGGGTCTGTTGCAGGTCGACCTACATCAGAAAGAAGCTAGCGGCTGGCAGGAGAGCTAATCTCTTTGCACCGAGAATTATTTGCTTAAGCGGGATCGCCTCTGCTCGTTATCTGACCTGCAGTTCCCCCCCCACCCAGTAGCAAAGCCCTCTTTGAAGCAACCTGGTTCCCAGAAGATGGCGCCTTCTCCGGCAGGGGGCGTCTTTGCGACGCAACAGGCGCTTCTGTTTGTAAGCCCCCCAGCGGGAGGCGACAGGGTGGGAAAGAGAAAGTTAAAAGCGGGGGTGGGGGAGATGCTGTTCCTTGTTCAAGCTGAGCGGAGCGCTCGGCAACTTCTGACGGTGCAGTCGCTGTGTTTGCTAACCATTTCCCCCTGTCCAAGTGACACGTACGGGCGAGAGGGGAGTGTTAACAGGATCCAAAAAGCTGTAAAACATTTCCCTCCC